GAGAAATTAGGTCCAAGGCAACTTGGACAACCAGCTTTCCAGTGCTAGTTCTCCATTAAGTTCAGTAGCCACAAGAGCAATAAACCATAGAGTTCCCCCTTAGCAAAACCAGAAGCAGCTGTTTATGATCAGTCCTGTTTGGAGCCTCTAACATTGTAAAACTAAAACTGCAATGAACTGAGTGAATGTAAAGATTTTACAGGGCCACAAGGTATATGTGTGTTTGCAATTCTATCATACAGAGGAAAAGCCAGCTGGAGGGCTTGAACCAATCTCCCCACATCTTCTGCTTGAAAGCTGTGCTGCCATGCACGGTAACGTTACATCAAAGGAGAGGAATGGTATGTTGCCACCATGCTACACAGTTTGAACTCTTGTCCTGCTATCAGCAGTATTTCTCTGCCAAGTTACTGGGTCTTTTTAGTTTGCTGCTGTTCCAGGACCGTGGCTGATGTGCTCATGTGGTTCCTCAGCTGTCATGAAATTAGCAGGTACTGGAGAAAGTGGTGGAGGATACTTGGGGGTGTCTTTCTAGCCAGGCATGACCCAAGGAAAGGGCTTTTGTGCTGCTGGTTGGTTGGCATTAAGTACCACAGAGAACGCAGAAGTTCTGGGCTCCCATAGTCATTGGAAAGCTGATGGCCTTCATATAAATACCAATGATGGTGGGATGCTCTAGGCCAAATCCTGCTTTGGTCACTCATATTATCAAGCACTGTCCTACTGTTTAGTTCCAAAAGAATGTCCTTTTAGTCTCCTATAAAAAACAGTCAGGTTTTTTTGAAATTGCTCCAAAATGACTGAAGTGATCTAGCCATTCTGTCCAATGGGTGTAAGTGCTAATAGGAAGCCTTAACCTGCTCCCAAGAAAAATGGTCATCACGGCTCAAGGACTCAGTGCTTGGTGGCTCTTTCTTCAGCTATACTTAAGCAAGAAAACTCCTTTGCTCCTTAGAGAGCTAGAGAGGAAAAGAAGCAGGATCAATTTGATCAAAAGGCGCTCTGTGAATGCCAAGTATTGCTGCCCTGCTGTAAGGCCGCGCAGTTCGGAGATGTCCTGTAGTGTGATTTGCCTTGTATCCTCTTGCCTGAGTGGTGCTAATGTGAAACAAAAGTCCCGTTTCTCTACTGTACTTTGCGCTGTTTCCCGTGCTCTCTTTTTTCTCTTCCTGTCAAATATTTCAGTGGAGATTTCCTTTTTGATGGTGTGCCAAGCAGCATTCCAGCGCCTTTACTCTGCCCCCCCCTTGGGAGAAAAAAAAAAAAAAGGCTGACCCCTCATTTCCATAACCAAGGAAGAGACAGGTAGGCATTGTTTTGTTCCCGAGCATGCTTGTTTTTCTTAGATTCACACCCAGGGAAGAGAAATGATGCTGTTATTCAGAGTAGGAATTACCCTCATGACCCCAGCAAATGCAGTAGTAACAACAGTGAAATCAGTGGTAGGAATGGACTGCTTTTTGGAGATGGACCTTTGGCTTTGGCCACTTTCTCCCTTCACCTTCTTCCTCTCTGTTCTCTCCCCACAAGATTTCCCTGTTTTCTTGTGTTTGAGGCACGTCAAACCCTGGAATAGCCCTCACAGGCATTAGTCACTAGTGATTAAAATAGCCACTAAGAGCAGGCAAGAGCCTGCAATGATTTGTGCTAAATTGGGTGCATCTCTGCTTGTAGCAAGGGTTGCTAATTTGCAAACCTCCCTTGTTATTATCATTGTTTTTATTAATAGTGCCACGGGGCTCCAGCTGACATTAAAGTTTTATTTTTGAGGTTGGAAGGGACCTCTGGAGATCATCTAGCCCAACCCCCCCTGCTCAAGCAAGGTCATCTAGAGCACATTGCACATGATTGTGTCCAGGTGGGTTTTGAGTACCTCCAGGGAAGGAGACTCCACCACCTCTCTGGGCAACCTGTGCCAGTGCTCTGTCACCCTCACAAGAAAGAAGTTTTTCCTCGTGTTCAGATGGAACTTCCTGTGCTTCAGTTTGTGCCCGTTGCCTCTTGTCCTGTCACTGGGCACCACAGAGAAGAGACGGGCCTCATCCTCTCGACACCCCCCCTTCAGATACTTGTACACATTGATGAGATCGCCTCTCAGTCTCCTCTTCTTCAGGCTGAAGAGGCCCAGCTCTCGCAGCCTTTCTGCAGAGGAGACATGCTCCAGTCCCCTCATCGTCTTTGTAGCCCTCTGCTGGACTCTCTCCAATAGCGCCATGTCTCTCTTATTTCATCTGCTGCTGTACAGAAGAGAGGAAGAGGAGAGTTTGTAGTGGACAAGAAAAAGGAGGTCCCATCCATAGTCGCACTGGAAAGGGAACTGACAGGCCTTGGAAATTCGCTCAGACAGCCCTGGTGCTGGATGTCTGTCCTTCATCTCTCTGCAGTTGGGGCCAGGGAAGCCCTTCTGCCATGGAGATGTAGCCACAGCCTAGGCAGATGGGCTGCTGGGGGTGAAGGGATGCTTCTAGGAAAGAGCAGACTGTTAAAAGACAGAAAAATGATAAAATCAGAATGAAAAGGCTACGTTGCTGGGGTTTATGGGGTAGTGCACTAAAGCAAAAAAGTTGCAGATGTCACTTTGGTCAGGAGAGGTATCCAAAAATGAAATAATGAATGTGTACCAGCGTTTCCTCACCTATAACATGGAGATAGTAGTCTGACCTCACAGGGGCTATGTATGGTTTAAGGGTCCAATCTGTGTACGTGCACATGATTCTTGACCACTCGCAGTAACCTAAGTGGAAAGTCCATGTGTTAAAAAGGAGGACTGGTGTAATATAGCGATCTAATTTATTAATCACATGTCAAGTTCCCCCATAATCATTAGTCTGTATAATGATGAAGAGTCTCATTTCTAGCACTTAAAGGAAGCTAAAGGAATTTACCCCATATTTTAGCCTGTTAACTCTAGCAGCAAAAAAACAGCCCTGTGGTTTTTATTGCTTGAAGTCTTGGGTTCTGTCCCTGCTGATGGCTCATGGATAATACACATCTTTGATCCAGAGTGGAAATTGGAAATCTTTTAAGAACAACTTAAGTCAGGCCGCAAAGAATATCGGAAGATTTTTTCCCTTTGTATATCTGCTCCCAGCTGTGTTTAAAAGAATGTGTTTAAAATCAATGGAATTAGTCAAACTTCTCTGACTCGTAATAAAGATTTGGATTGGGGGGGACTTTAAGTGAAGGTTTGGCTCTGATTTTGTTTTGTCTGAAATAGTCACATATCTGTAACTATATAATAAACTACAAGATATAAGCAGGATTGCTAGAGGTTTGTGTTGCTCAGCAGCGCGTGTCAGTCCCAAGACGCTTACTGACAGTAATAGCAGTAGCTTTACTGAGCAGCTAACCTTGCTTTATCCAAAGAGCACGTTCCTAAGTGTCGGCTGTTAATTTGCATGTTAATGTGTAGAAAATTGAGCTGAGCGGGGAAATCAACCTGTGGTGGGTTTAAATACAGCCGTACATCAGTTGAGGCAATTGCTACCAGATTAAACACTTTGCTCCTGGTAAAGCAGATCTGTGATTCAGGAAAGCAGCTAATAAGGCATTTAACACTGAGATGCAATTAGTTTCCTTACCATTGACAAAGATCAAGCATGGACTTAAAGCAAAGGGTCCTTTTGGACTAATACAAGCACGGGTGCGTGGGAAACTTTGTATGAATGCACAAGCATGGAGTGCAGAGAAAGTTGAGTTATGAGGATAAGGAAAACTTAAGAGTGACTGTGAACTGATGTGCAGGGGAAACTTTAAATGAGGGTGAGCTGTGAAAATTAGTCAAAACATCTCTTGTCTTTAGCCAATGTATTTTAATTTTTTTGTGAAGACCTCACAGGATAAAGAGTGGACATTTGGTTGCTGGCTCCTCCAGCAAGCAGAGGGGAGTTTTAGTTTTGGTTTTTGTAACTTCATGGAGTCAGAGGTGGCAAAAGTGAAAATGGAGGTGGCTGGACTCATTCCTCAGCTGCAGGACTCAGAAGGGCTGTGACTGTGGGTGGAGCACGCTGATTTGCTGACATTGAACATCTCACCCATTCATGCTATTGTAACTTGGACTTTGGGGTTTTATCCTGCCTGCTGGTTTAGCTCTCACTTGATTACTGAGAACCAAGGATGTAAAGAATCTATGAAGCAGCAAAAATACCTTTTTTATTATACACTTCCAAAGAAACAACCTCAAAATATTCTGAGAATCTACGCTGGGGAATGGCACTCCGAATCGCCAATTAAGATACTGCTACAGCACCTCATTTTAGGGAGTTAAGAGCTCTCTTTAGATCCTTCCCAAGCCACATCGCAGCTACAGACTTTCTTCCTTGAATACCCTAGATGAAAATAAAAAGAAAGAAAGAAAGAAAGATAGAAAGAAAACAGAAAACCAAACCCAGCCCACTTTCCAAATGCAGCTCAGTCTGCACTGGTTATATAACATGATTGATAAAGTTGAGGAGTGAGCTGAGGTCAGAGCCTCAGGATGCAGACTCCCTATGTGATGAAGGAGCTTTTTGTGTGTATGTATATGTGCATGGAGGAAGAGGGTTGTGTTTGTTTCTTGAAAATCCTCAGACACTCTCCAAAGAATTCCAAATTTAAAGCAGTGTAAAATGCTCCATCAAACATGTTTTACAGTCTCGACATCGCAGCCTGTTAACTCTATCCCAGTGGCTCTTTCTGAGAGCTTTTGAATAATCTCTTGATAGTGCTTTTCTTGCTGCTGAGCAGAGTCTTCATGGAAACTGCGGATGGTTGTTTTATTAGCTTGTCTGGATGGGGAGCCTTGGAGGAGGCTGCTTCACCCAAGGTCATGCAACACTTGTAAAATATATTTGGCCTCAAAAAATAAACAAGATAAATAAATATAATTTGTCCATTGTATGAGGCAGGAGTCAATGAAGTGCCTGGGGCCAAGGAGTTGCTTTCAAACTGAGTGGTGAACTCAGCATAGACCTCTTCTGGTGTGGAGGTGCTTTTCTGAAGCTTTTCTTGTTTCTCCATAGCGCCCGAGAGTGGGACCAGCCACAGCAGAATCCAGAAGAGAGATTTCTGCTACAGATCATATGGGAAATCATTCTTATGAATGGATCTCGCGTCCCTCAGAACTGGTGAGCCCTTGGGTTTGGTGAGCATGTGGTTAGCTTACATGGAGGCACTGCGTCCTGGTCCTGTACCTGTGGGCTGCTCGTCAAGGTAGTGGAGGAAAACAGACTTGCTGCAGGTCTATTTAGAGTAGCTCTGCTGGATGTCAAGTATTTATTCACTGCACCAACATCACATCTTATATGAAATATCCAAGACTAGGGTTTTCAAATCTGCCTTGAAAACTTGGGAACTGGAATGCCACTGATTGCCTGGGTCTGGATGTGATATTGATGCAGCAGAGTTAAATGCCCTGTGATAGGATATGAGCTTAGCATCACTGTGTCCCAACAGAAAAATAAACATCTCAGCTTTGTTTCGCTGTTTGTTTTCCAGTAATATCTTGACTCTGCCTTAGCCTTTACGTTGCAGCACAAAACCATTATCCCGTGGCATTTCTTCCTTTCTACAAATAAACAGAATGTGAGGACTATAATGTTAGGTCCCAACTATAATGTTAGGAGCAATAGGACAAGATTAAACATGGCAAAATTGCAGTTCAGTCTGAAGGAAGAAGAGTTATTATGTGTAATGTTTCGGTCATGACTAGAACTCGACTTGTGGTGGGGCTGTTGTAGTCATAAAGAGACAGTTCTTGCCTCGAATCGATTTACAGTCTAGAGAGATGACAAGTGAGACATGACAAGTATTATAATCTTTCTTCAGGGGGAGAATTTGGGTACAAAGAGTGAAAATGTTGCCTTTGTAAATCGGCAGGAGCTTCAATGCAGCTAGGACTAGAATTTAACTGTATTTGTTCAAGAAGCGTGTGGTATGTCCCATCTTAGTGCCTTACCTGTCTTTCTGCGTGTAATCCAGAGTGGATGTTTAAAATGGGAATAATCATCATAAAATAAATAATCACACTGGAGTTAACTGAAGCTTTTGCTCCCATGTTGGGCCTGATCTCATGCCCTGGGCCTGCATACTTGTATGGTGTCCCTCAGCCTTTTGTGTGTTCAAGTGCAGTATTGTATATGCCACTGCAGGCCAAAACCTGTGAACAGTCTTTGCTGTAGTCAGCAGCACACTGTCACTCCCAGGAGGAGACATGCCAGGCTACCTCCAGCTCCGTGCAGCTGAATGACATGCAGGACGCGTGCTAGAAACGCCTGTGCAGTGCAGGTGCAAATGCTTGCGGGATGGCTCTTGGCCCACGGCCCCCTTCAGCCCTTGTGTGGTACGAATGCAGTCAGGTCCTTGTGCCAGCAAACTAGCTCTGAAGAGTAGAGCAATTATCCAGGTGGTTTGGGATGTTATTGTTAAGACAGAGGCCGTGGAAACTCAAATATGGCCTTTCAGTACTAACGCTCTCTCCTGGTTTAGCCAGCTGGAGGTTAGAGCCAGGCAGCAATCACCCAAGTTATTTCTGCAATGAAGAGTATGTGCAGAGTCAAGCAAAAAACATCTTGGAAGAAATGATACACTAGCCAAGTATAAATTATTTAATTTTGAGGGACATCGTCCAATCTACTTAAGTTCTCATTCATTCAGCAACTTTTAATGTGTATTAATGCCTGTATTTATAATAATCACGTATACTAAACCCCAGCCTGTATTAGGTCCTTTTTACTGACGTATACTTAGACAGGGCAATGCCATTTCTATTTTCTGATGTACGAAGTGTGCAAACACTTCATATATAAATATTCCCCTGGTGGATTTGGCCCCTTTTTCTGTAGCAATAGGTAGGAGAGTATAGAGACTGAGTGGGGTAATTTTCTTCTAAATGCATCTTCGGGCACAGATTCAGCAAAATGTATAAACACTTATTTGAGATAGCTTTGATGTGATTTAAGCATGTGCTTACATTTAAGGGTAGACTTAAGCAAGTAAGGACTTTGCAAAATCAGAGCCTTAATGTGTTATTTAAAGGTGTAACTGTGAAATTTGTTTCGGCCAAACTAACGCAGCAGGTAAAGACAGATAAACCCAATTATGTACAAGCCTCACATAAGCACAGCATAACTCGGAGACCTGCTAAATAAGCATCTTAGAAACCCCACTGAAAGTTGTTTGTGATCTAGTGATAAAATATGGAAACTTTTTCTCCAATGAATCTAGAAAGTGATGACTTTTTTTTTGAAATACTGCAGCAGAAGCACTAATGAGATAAATGTATTTATGCCATGAATAAAATGCATGATGAAAACTAATATGAGAGACAGAATAACTGATTGAAGTAGGCCAGGTTTGTCAGTACACTCCATCTGCTTTGCATCATTGGGCCGGGCAAAACATCAGAGCATATTGGTGAATCTGGCAAACGTCATGTTATTTTTATGTCATCCTTATTCTTCCAGAGCCTGATCCAAGTCCCACTGAAGTCCATAGAAGTGAGTGGACTTTCCTTTACATCAGCGAGTTTTGAATTGGTTCCTTCCTCCCTCACTGGTAATGTCAGTAGTCCACAATGGGTCTTGCAGGCATTTTTACAGAGCAATCGAGTACCACTGTGCTTTTGATTTTAATACCACATTTTGATGATTTTAATACTGATCTGTATTGTGATGGCTGGAGTCCTGAGATAAAATGAAATGAGGATCATAGCAAACTGAAAAATGCTTACTGTTTTAAAAGCTAATGAGAACGCTCCTAGAAATGCTGAAAGTCAGTGGGATTTAGAATGCCAAGGACCTCCATTATTTTGGAAGAAACTTCATCACCTCTATGAAGATCAGCTTAGACCTTATGTAATATTACAGAAGGCAGCCAGAACTGTTGAGAGTGAAAAACACGCAAAATGGCATCATTCCCTATTGTTTCTGAAGGTGTGAATTCCTCTTTTCCTGATATGAAGTAACTAACTTATCGATGTCATCTCCTTCTTCTTTTAAAAGAGGAGTCTGCTGCATGTTACACAAAGATGTTTATAAATTCCCTCACATGCCTATCAATCCAGACATCTCTCAGTATTCCTGTTATGTTTATTTATATGCACACTTATAAAAAACAATAACCTTACACTTATTAGTCAAGGTGATTCAGCCCATGCCTCCCACTCTATTGCTTTGATTCCAATCTTATTCCAAAAAACAGCCCTAAATATCACTGGGGTTACTCATAAAACATGGTGCTGTTCTGCATGAGTAAGACTATTTGAATCTGGCCTGGAGTAAAGTTACTAATGCTCAGTGAGAAGCAGAGCTCGATGAAGATTGCAAAATGTTGTCCATTAATCTGTTCTTGAATTTTTAAACACATTTTTTAGTCTCTGTCCACTCATGGATCTCTGAGCTAATGAACTTGTTGACAGGAATGTTCACCGTAACAACCCATTTACAGCAAATATTCCAAGATCTTTGCGCTCTTTCCTTCATTCAAAATAACACCAGTCTCCCTCCCCAAGAGATGACCTTCCTGTTTGGGAGTTGTGTATTAATGGTGAATATTCACATTGGTAATAAGTTTTGTTTGTTTTTCTAAATACTCCTCCAGTGAAAAAACAGAATGAAATGACTTAAAATAGAATTTAACAAATCTATGGGACCAGAGAAACACCTTTGAGGTCCAATTCCAAGAGAAAGGGTGGCCCAATGGTTGGGACAGTACCGGGAGTTGTGGAGTTCATTCTCTGCCCCACCAAAGTCTTTGCTCAGTGGGAAGTCAGCAGCGCTACATCTCAGATCCGCACATGGGAGCACTCTACCTTGCATGGTGCTGAAGGACCCCAGAAACACGGTGGTATCCAAGAAAAGATGCATAACACTGACAAATCATCCGCTTGTGACCCAGCTATAAAAAAAAGAAAACCTGCGTAGAAATGATTTAGTAACAACTTTTTTACCTAAAGAAGTCTTTTCATCTGCTCATGGATATTTTCTTCGAAGAGATTATTCATGGAGCAAGGTTCTAAAATAAAAATTGAGGAGGATGGAGCAAAGCTGGGCTTTGGTGAATACATTCAAACCCTAGATACGTTGCAAGCAGTCTGAGTCTGTTCCCAGGCAACTCCCAAGTAGAAGAAAGGCAGAACTATTCCAAAAGATTTTTTCTACAAATTGTTTATCTACCTGTAGGATCTTCTTCAAAGCCAAGCAAAATGAGGGAAAATGAAGTTGTTGACCTCCGCTTGCTTTGGATCTGGCTTGTAATGAGAGCTATAACCGTACTAAGCTTCCCATTTCAGGCAGTTTGATGTGGCCTCTTACAGAGAAAAAAATGGTCAGAATTTTTATTACAATAAGAAAATGCAGTTTTTCATTCTCTCCTCATTTCAGAAGGTCTGAAGGGATTTTACTCAACTTCCTCTTCTACCTTCAGGCAGAGACCAAATCTGAGAAATTGCAGCCTGAATTTGGAAAGTTGTCAGGATGTGCAAATAGGAGCTCCTGATGAGAAGTTACTGTTCAACACACTTTGTTGTCCTGAGTGCTTCTGAGAAGCCACTACAAACCAGGTGTCCCCATCAGCCCTGCCTTACTCAGATTCATATCCCCCAGTCAGGAAAAAAAAATGCCTGATCAAAGCAGTGCGAGGTTTTGCTCTATTGAGACCAAGCTGGATAGAAAAAGGCAGGCAAGATCAGGCTTTGCGTGGGTAAGAATCACTTACCAACTTCTAGAATGCAACATGCAGTAAAAAAACATGCATCTTTAAGTATGTTGCCCAAAGCCTGGTGAGGTCAAGCACAGACTTATTCCAAAGGGCTTTGCTGCTGAATGTATTGGGCCTAGACAAAACTACGTAAGAGACCTGGGAAGGAAGACAGGAACAACAGCTGAATTCAGGGGTGCTCTAGGTAGGCAAAGTCCTGTAACCTAGAACAGAATATGGCCTGGATCTTTGATGATATGAGACTTGATAGAGTTAGTACGAATTTATTTTTGCAGTATCTAACGCTCAGTGGTGTATGGTATGCCCTTACCGGGAACAAAAGGGAGCCTTATAAGCAGCTGAATGCAATTGGTATCCATGTCAAGCCTATTTTAAACACCTGTGTTAGACATTTTGGCAAAATACAGTCAGCAATATGGAAAAGAGTCCATAGAACTGGAAAAAGTTGCTTTAAATTCACTGTTGTTGCATTCACCTATTTGGAAAAGTCAGTTCAAATGCACAATCCTCAAAATAAATGCAAGAAAATGTCTTGTAACGGTCGGCAGGCACTGGAGCTCCCCAGCAGCGGTGGACTGGGAGCGCAGGAGCAAACGGCGGGTATGGGTTTGGCTGGAGCAAACGGCCGTGCAGCGTTCGCCCATCCGCGCTGGAGGTGCGCTCTTTGCCATCGGTGTATGTTGCCGATACTTCAGTCTCTCTTTTGGCTGTGGATGCCCCCCCTCTGCGTTTGGGATGCTGCTCTGCTCCAGGCAGAACTGGAGGAGACAGAAGGCGTGAATGGGCAGCCAAGGCAGAGCGCAGCCAAGGGACTGGCTTGGCTCCGAGAGGCAAAACGCAAGCTGAGCCATTGGAGCCGGCTGTACACAGATGAGAAGGAAAATGCACAAA